TAGTACTTGGGAGGCAGGCAAGAGTTCTCTCTGAGTTTGAGGCTAGCCTAGTCTACATAGCAAGTCTTCATACAAGCAGGACAGCCAAGACTAAATAGAGAGATCCTGTCTCAAAGCAAAATAAACAGCAAATAATCAACTAAAATCTTTAGGAATTAGAGCCCTGGGCTGGAGAGATATCACACATCCCTCATTTTTTTTTCTTGCATCTTACCAATCTTGTATAGATAGTAACCCTAATGTATGCATCCTTTTGTCTTGTGGTTTTATGTTTGCATGCGTGTGTGTGTGCGCGCACGCACACACATGTGCATGTATGTGTCCTTGTGGGTGGCCACATGTGTGTGCAAAGGTCAGAGGATAGTTTGGAGCAATCAGGTCTCTCCTTCCACCGTGTGGGTCACAGTGATCAAAATCGAGTCTCACTACTCTCTTCCTCCTTCTATGCTTTCAGGACTCACACAAGAAGGTGCTTGTGAGTCTGAGTTAGCTCATTCCTTTTAAGGTCACAGGGTCTTGGCATGGACATATTTTGCTTTTTCATTTCCTTGTCAGTGGATGTGTAAACTGTTCCCATCTTTCCCCTCTTGCAGTAATCTTCTTGGCACGCAAGTGGGATTCTCCAGCTGAGTTCCAACAAGTCGAATTGCTGGATGAGCCCTTGCAACGTCAGAGACAACAAACTGTCCTCTGTGGTGACTAGGATGCTTCTCTCTCCGCATGTGACCAAAAATGTTGGTCTCTTCTTACTCTTGGCAACAGTTCATCACTTTCATGGGTGAAAATTTATCTTTTTCTGTTTTTATTTTCAATGAGAGTAAGGTTGAATATTTCCCAATATCCTTTTTTAAAGGTTTATTTATTTTATGTATATGAGTTGTTTTTTTTTGCCTGCATGTACATTTGCACAATAGAAGAGGGCATTGGGTCCAATGGGACTACAGTTATGGATGGTCGTGAGCCACCATGTGAGTGCTGGGAATTGAACTCAGGACCTCTGGAAGAACAACCAGTGCTCTCAACCATGGAGCCATCTCTCCAGGCCTCTCCACACCTTTTGTTACACCAGTGTACTGGTCGGGGTTCTCTAGAAAAACAGAAAATATATGTATTTATACACACACACACACACACACACACACATTCATATATATGGTACTTATTAAAGTGCCTTACAGGCTGTGGTCCAACTAGTCCAACAAAAGGTCCAAGAATCCAACAGTTGTTCAGTCCCCGAGGCTGGAAGTCTCATTGGAATCCTGAAGAAGTAGGCTCTAAGGCCAGCAGATTGAGAGCAAGGGTAAGCAGCAAAGAGCTTCCTTCTCCCAAGTCCTGGGAGGTGTGGGAAGGTGTGGTCCACATTAAAGGTGGATCTTCTCACCTCAAAAAATCTGGATTAAAGGTGTGCGTCTTCTCACTTCAAATAATTAAGAAAAATCCCTCACAGGTGCATCCATATTCAACTACTTGGGTTTTAGTTAATCCCAGGTACAGTCAAGTTTGCAACCAAGAATAGCCATCACAACCAGTAAACAGAAGTTTTGCATCTATGTTTGATATAGCTGTGCTGGAGGTGGGAGAGAAGCTCCGTGGTTAGGAGCCTGTTTAGCTCTTGCAGAGGACCCATGTTTGGTTCCATATATATAATTTCTTGATCCACCTTATTTTACAGGTCTGTAACAGAACACCAGCTTTTGGTTTCTATAACTTCATTTTGTACCATTTCTGCTTTTTTATTATTATACTCTTCCTTCTGCTTTCTCTGTGTTTATTTAGCTGACATTTTCCTGCTGCTTCACTGAGTAGCTTATCTCTGTGATGAAGGCCATTAGCAAGAGCTCCCTCCTAATATCTGTTGGATCCCAGTCCAACAGTCTTGCTACGCCAGCTTTCGCACTCACCCCCTTGGGATTCTGTTCCTCGCGTCCGAAGGCTGCTTTGCCGTCCTAGCTTTAGACACTCACTTCTGAGTATTTTGCAATTACAAGTCTGCTTTTCTTGTTAACCTGCATGTAATTTTCAGTTTTCAGATAGGTTATTTCTCTTTTCGAAAAAATGTATAACAAAAATATTTATCGTTCAGACAGGCCACACAGATGAACACAACAAACACCTGAGGGTACATCTGCCATGAGCATCACTTCTTTTCAGAAAGAAAACTCAAATGTATACTTACAATTTTTAATTTTATTTTTGTGCAAATAGGTGCTTACAGTAAAAAGGAAAAAGAAAAAAAAAATCGCCTGACTTCCTGGCCCCTTCCTCAGAAGCAGCTGCAGTAACGGGTTTCGGGCATGGTTTGCACATGGGCTTCTGGCCTGGCATGTTGTTGACTTCTAGTCTCGCTGAGTTGTGGTTCGTTGAGTGTGATCTGAAGATTCTCTGGAAGTTGCCGAAGCTTTGAGGTCCAACACACAGTCAGCGTCTGTACCTGTTCCAGGAATAACTGAAAAGAATACATCAAAGCTCCTTCTCTACACTACAAGGCTAAGCTCATAATTTCTCTGATCCCTTCCAGAGCACTGAGGCAAGTGACCCACCTGACAGGAAACTTCCTCCTGGGCTCAGGCCTTGACTATGCTCTCCAATGTCCTTTGTCTTGCACAACACTTTTGTGTGAGCGAAGTTCTCTCACATTTTAGACTCCACATTTCCTGGGAGCATTTGAGCAGCAACGCTGTTGTGGAGTGGATAGTTCAATGCTTGGTATATCACTGGTAAACACAGAGCCAAAACGAGACTTAGTCTTCTTTCCTGGGGTGACAGGCCTGTTCCCCTGGCGGATCTCAGTCATTTCTCAGTATCTGTTCCGACGGAACGGTCTTGTTTGTGGGCTCAAGAGGGACACTGAAACAAAATGTTGGGAGTATGACGTTTATTAGAAGTGTTATTAATGCCATAGACAGACAGACGGCAGCATGGAGCGGGCTGTGAAGAGAGGAATCCAGGTCCCACAGGGCAGAAACAGGAGGAATACTTTCATGAAAATGCGGATGGTTTCACAGTGGAAGCTTGCGGCCTCCCTTTCGAACTCCAAGACCAATACTCTGTTCGATGTTAGCTCACTTCCCCAACACTGAAAGACTGCTGGAGATTCACAGACCATGTCTCAGAAGCTGCCTGACTCTGTAAGAGGGAGGAACTCCTGCAGACATTGAGATTGGATTCCAATACCACATTCTTAGACCCACCGCACCTGTTCACCTCACTGAGCCCTCAGGCTGACTTACCCTCCTCATCCTCATCTGCCGGAACACTGTCAGGGGTTGAATGTGAATAGCCAGCATCCTCCTGGTTTCTGCCATCACCAAGGCGTATCACTCAAGGCAGAGCCCTGCTGGTGTTTCACATCTCGGAGTCACCTGCGCAAGCCCAACCAAAGGCCGCTGTAAGATGACTCTGTATTAGCTTTTCCTCTGAGAGGGAGCGTGGTTCAGCTAACCATCACACCTGCAGTTGGGGTGCCAACCTTAGCCTCTCTTTGGAACTCATCGTGACATATTTTCCAAATCTTTTGGCTCCATCCTCTCACCCCTCCCCCTCAGCACTTCTTCAGCTCCTACTAGGCAGAAGATACTCCTCTATAGAGAACATATAAAGTCAACACTGTGGCGCCAGGCTGTTCACCTCCCATTTCAGAGACAGTTTATGTAAGATTTTTGGCAGTAATGATACTTTACAGTTACCAAGAGTTTACCCCACCCCTAGTGGTCCACAGTTCATCTTCACAACCCTGTCTGTCCACAGTCTGACACTATTAGTCTTCCTTTACAGATAGGCAAGCTGAGGTCAGGGATTGATTGAGTGCTTTGTTCGAGAGAACAGAGATTTGGGGTTCAAGACCCAGGATTTGACCCTTGCCTTCTACCTCCAGAGATCAAGTTTTTAGCTACCTCTGTGCTATTAGTCAACCTACTTAGTTGAAGACTTCTACAAAGGTTAAGGAGCTGTCCAAGACTCCAGGGTGGATGAGAGGCAGAGTAAGAATGTGCTTTCAGAGATTTGACAACGCACTTTGTGCAACTGCATCATTAGTCACGCTTCCTGGGCAAAAGTGCATTTCCAGCTCGAGAGTCGGGCCTGGAATGTATGCAAAGGAAATGCCTTTAGCGGTCAACTGGAGAGACTTCAAAGAAGTGACTCCCTTTGGTAATTTCATCAGGTCTCACAGTTCTTAGGGGAGCGTGGCTAGGGCTTAACCAGCACCATGCCACACTTCTCAGGGCTCTCCTAGCTCCGGCAGCACATCAGTTCTTTGAAAACTCGTGAACACTTCCGTATTCAGGACTTTTATTTGTGTGTGTTCGTGTGCGTGATGTGGAGGACAGAGGTCAACTTTAGATGTGGTTCCTCAGAAGCCCTCCACTTTGTTTTTCTTTTCTTTTTTTTGTTTTTGGTTTTTCGCGAGGTTTCACAGTAGCTATGGAGCCAGTCCTGGGACTCGCTCTGTAGACCAGGCTGGTCTCGAACTCCCATTTTGTTTTGTGAGACATACCGCCTTCCCAATAAGCACTTTACAGACAAGAGTTATGTAACCGACTGTTATTAACCTCATTTAGAAGCTCCACGAATGGCCAACGCTCAACTAGTAACGGTAGAGCCAAGTTTCTAGCTCAGGCTACAGAAAAACAAAACCCACATTCTTCCTCTCCAGTTTAAAGCCAGCATTTTTAACCCACAAAACAGAACGTGGGCTCTCCTCCGCAGAGCTGGCAGCGGGGGCGGCGGAAGTCGTTCCGGGAAGTACAGAAGCTGCCCGGGAAACTTCGTAGCTTGGGACTCAACCCACAGCTGTGGAGGCGCCATAGCAACGGGGTGGGGGCAGGGAGCCGGAAATACTCCCCTGATGGGCGGGAGAACGAGCGTAACTCACCAATAGGCGTTCCCTATTGCAGCTCTCCCCGCCTCGGAGGCGGGCCCCAAGAGCGACTTCCGGCGTGATCGCTGCTGGTCGGCTTCCGGGCGTGCGGTGCGTATGAAGGCCGCGGGGCACTGCGGGGATCAAAGCGGGCGTCGTTGGGGCGACGGGAGGACCGCAGTGGGGACTGCGGGGCGTACGAGAGCGGTGGCCGGCGCTGACGGGGATATTGAGGCCCGCAAAGGGCACGGATTGGGACCTAGCTCCGTAACAAGTTATTTGTTTATTTCTAATTTAATTTTTTTTAAGAATTGACTTTTTGAGACGTGGTCTCACCATGTAGCCTAGGCTGCTCTGGAACTCGTGTAGCTCCTGTCTCTGTCTCTTAATGGGCCAGGCGCAGAAAGTGCGCCTGACTGTCACTCTCAGGTGATAGCCGCATGTACCACTCTGTCCAAAACGACCACTCAGCCTCGTGCCTGCCCCCCCCCCCTCAGTACCCCCTTTGTTTTGTTTATGGAGCCGGTATTTGAAAGCCCAAGGCTAAATGTGTTCCAAATTATCGGTTTGTCCGATTTGGGAAAGGTTTAGGGTTCCCGTGCTCAGTCTTATGCTGCACATAGTACTGATAACCCCAGATCACACGGCTAACCCAGGCCAAGTTCTCAAACGGAAGACTGGAGAAGTGTAGATACGGAACCTAGACCGCGGTTTTACTTATTTGTGATTATGCGTACGATCATGTTTTTCAATATGGAGTTTCTCTGTGTAATCTTGACTGTCCTGGAATTCACTCTGTAGATCAGGCTACCCCAAACTCAGAGATCCACCTGTCTCTGCCTCCTGAGTGCTGGTTTTAACGGTGTGCTCCACCACTGCCCGGCAATCGTGATTTTATTGTTCGTCGAGTTTGTTGGTTTTTTGTTTTTAAATCTACTGGCAGTGGCATAAGAACAGAGACTGCTTTTGTAGCCCCACCCCCTTCTCCACCACTGTCACCTGTGTCCCTTTGTAGCTTCAGTTCCCTCCTCTGTGAAAATGTCTCTCATGAGGTTCTGGTGAGTTTGAAACCAGGTTGTGCGGTCGGAGCACTGACACTACCTAGCACAGGCTGCCCATTGGTGCCCAGGCTTTGCTTATTGTGGGGACCCCTGGATGTTAAAGTCCTTTGGGTAAGTGGCCAGTATCTATGGTTAATCCTCTCTCAGTCTCTCTTCTTCAATGGCTGTCATAGCCACACGCAGGCACAGCTCCTGAGCACCTTTCCTATTCCCACTTCTGACCTCTTCCCCCAAGTCACAGCATTTGACCTTTCCCTCTGCCACACTTCTCTCTTTGACTGTATTTACATATTTTTATTATGTTACATGCCTATGAAAGTATCTGAAGAATAAAATAAAAAGTTAGCACCTACATGTGTGCCACCACCAAATTAAGTATACTACTATCCCCGCCCGCTCTCTCTCTCTCACACTCACACACCACCACCACCACCACCACCACCACCACCGAATCCTCTCTCCTCCTCAGAGTACTCGCTGCTCTGGATTCGGCTTCCTTGCTGTTGGTAGGCTTCACTGACCATGTATGGTCCTGTGATGAATACCATTTTCAGTGTTTGGCATCTTGTGTGAAAGTGTGACTTGCTCTTTGCATTTGGTATAGTTTTGTGTTGTTGTTGTTTTTTCTTTTGAGACAGAGTCTCTCTGTATCCCTGGCTAACCAGGAAATGGCATTGTAGACAGGCTGACCTTGAACTCAGAGAGAACCCTCTGTCTGCTCAGTGCTGGAGTGAAAGGCGTGTGTCATTACGTCCAGCTTTCATGCAGTTTTGAGCAGCATCCATGCTGATGAGAGTAGCCCTGCTTTCTTCTTCTCTGTACTGGAGTCCACGATGTGATTAGAATCCCTTTAGATGGCTATGCCCTGGTTGATAGGCATTCACAGTGTTGCCAGAGTTCCATTATGTGATGCCTCTATGGCCACACTTCCTGGGGCCAGTATGTATATGACAATAGTGTTTCTGGGGCCACGCAAGCCTGTTGGAATCTACTCCACCAGAAGTGGAGTGAAGTCGTAGTCAGGCATTCCGCTCTTACCCATCTGAAGAGCCCTTTCTCTCCTGTGCCCTCCCTTTCTTTCTGTTCCTCTCCCTTCCCCTCCTGTTTTCTTCTCCCCTTTAGATTTACTTTATTATATGTATGTATGTGTATGTGTGTCTGAGTGTGGATATGTGCATGGTGCCCTCAGAGGCCAGAGGTCTTGGATCCCCTGAGCTGGACTTACAGGTGGTTGAGAGTGCTGGGAACAGAACTCCAGTCCCCAGCAAGAGCAGGGCATGCTTTTACTTTTAACCCCTGAGCTGCCTCTCCTTTCTCTTTCCTTTTTGATAGGCAATCTGTCTCTCTAGCCCACACTGGCCTGATCTCAGACCTGCTCTTCCTCCTGCTAATGCCATCCGGATTCTGGGATTCCTGGGTGTTGTTGTAGCAGTGTTAGTGTGGTGCTATATTCACTTGCCTGACCACAGTAAGATTGATCCGTAAGTTTTTTTTTTTTTCCCCCGTTTTTTTCCAAGACAAGGTTTCTCTGTAGTTTTGGTGCCTGTCCTGGAACTAGCTCTTGTAGACCAGGCTGGCCTCGAACTCACAGAGATCCGCCTGCCTCTGCCTCCCGAGTGCTGGGATTAAAGGCGTGTGCCATCACCACTGGCTGATTGCTCAGCTTTTTAATGTACTCTTGTGTACGCCAGCCTCTTACACTGTTTCTGTGCTATTCTCTTCAGTTCTTCCTTCTTGTTCTGTCGGGGTTCTTAATGTATTCTAAAGAAGATTCTTGTGGTTATGTATATTTTAAACACCTTCCAGCTTGTAGCCTCCTCCCCTTCCTTCCCCTCCTTTGGTATTTTTGGTGCGGGTTCTTTAATGAAATCAGTCAGTAATGTATTTTATGCTTTATCCTTTGTGGCTTTTGTATCTTCTAAGGACATCTTTTTCTACTCTTGGATTATATGTTCTCCTAGTGTCATTTAAAGTGGTAAAGTTTTTCCTTTTTAAAAACCATGACCCTGTAGGTTTGAGTTTGTATATGGTGTGAGGTAGGGGTTAAGTTTTATTTTTCACATATGGCTAATCATTTGCCTCAGCATTGTGTGTGTGTATGTTTGTGTGTGTGCGCGTGTGCATGTGCATGCGGGCGCGCACAGTGGGGGTATATAACACTGCATGCAGGTGTAAGTCGGAGGCCTACTTTTAGGATTGGTTCTCTCTTCACAGTGTGGGCCTGGGGATCAAGTGCAGGATGTCAGACTTGGACTTGGCAGCAAGCATCCCCACCACTGACTGACTCATCTGTGAGCCCACCATGGCAGCTTTCACAGAAGGTTTGCTTTGGCCTGAGCCCTGTTCTCCACCGTGTTGCGTCTCCATACTCACGCATACCTTCTGAGTTCCTCATTCTGCTCCACTGGTCTTACCTGTCAGTTTCTGTACCCTTGCCACGGTTTGTTCACCATTGCTGTTTTGATGTCTGGTAGGACTAGTCTTCCCACCTTTGTTCAAAGATGTTTGACGTTTTGTCTGTAGTTAGTTTTAGAATCAGCTCATCAATCATATTTGGATAATTCACAGATCCTGCTTGAATTTTGATTGACTTTGTATTGGTCTGATAGCATTGATCCACTGCCATTTTGAAGTGGCTTCTTTCATTTTTATGTTTGCTGCAGTTATTTTTATGTGCCATTTTGTAGATTGAAGACAATTTCTTCAGCACAAGAGTGTAGCTCAGTGGTAGAGAACCTGTCTATCATGGGTGTGGCGATATGTTGGACCCCAGCATCACACACATGCATGCATGCACGTAGTTCCCCTGATTTTCTTCTTTGTTAGCTTTTTAGTGTGAACATATTTTATCAACTTGTTTTCTGTGTGAACTGACTCCATATTTGCTCTTTACCTTTATTCTGACTCCCACTTTGTTAATTGACGTCGTTGCTGGAGTGGCTTATTTATGTCTCTTCCTTTCTTTCCTTCTCTCTTGCTTTCACCCTACCAAGGCCTAGGATCATGGGGACCCTGCATCACCAGACCTGGCTAGGAGGGATTATTTATAACTGCATTCCTTAAGCTCTGAACAAATGGACTTTTCTTAGTCACTTCTTTGGTATTGGCATCTGACTTCATTGCCTCGCGGTCAGTCCGGTCTGTATCCTGGCTCTCTGGCTGCTTTGCCTTGTCCTGCTCTGTAGCCAGCTTGGTGGGCACAGTCATCCCTTCATCTTTTGCTCTTATGTACATCACCTCTCCCTGTGCTCTGTGTTGTGTTCGCCTTGTGAACTAGAGGACTGTGAGCTCCCACCTAGTGTGGACTTTTGTGTGCTGCCAGGATCCTGATGAGTTGACCTTGAGGCTCAGGAGGCCTCATTGTAAAAGCCTAACATTTTAAGCAGTTGTGTGTTCTTGTGTGACCTTTTGCCACTTTGTGATGCTCTCTATTTCTGCTAATCTTTTATTTATTTATTTTACCAGAAAGTCCATTTTGACTCATTAATTTAATAAAAGCTCTCTCAGTTTGCAGGATAGGTAGGTTTCTAACATTTAGAAATAATGGAACATACTTTAAAGTCTTTTAATCTTTAAATTGGTTTTCCTTTCTTCTCTTTCCTTCCCCTCCCCTTTTCTCCTCTTCTGTATCCCAGGGGTTGAACCTAGGGCCTGGTGCATTTTAGGTGAGCTCTCCTGTTATTGAGCTATTTTTCTTCATTGTTATTATTAATCTAATTGTGTAACCGGAATTCATGTTGCCTGTCACGCAAAAATTGAATCTTTAAGCCATGCTTATTCATTGAGCTGGCAAACTGGGAAGACAGAATTAAATTAAAAAAGAAAAATCTAAGCCAGGCACGGTAGTGCATGTCTTTTGTCTCTGTGTGCTCAGGAGACAGAGGCAGGCAGAGGCAGGAGGATTTCTATGAGTCTGAGGCTAGACAACATAGTGCTTTTTACATAGCACATTTTAAGCCACTAGGGCTGCATACAGAGACTTTTTTTCAAAAACAAACACAAGTCTACCTTCCTTCTCTCATCTTCAGAAAGCTAATTGACGGGGGCAGGAAACAGGCTGGCATCACTGCAGAGTGCAGTCTTGGCCCTCTGCTCTGGTGGTCAGCATGGCCTGCAGGGCTCGTGATGCTTTTCTGGGTATCCTCTGCAAAGTTTTCCCTTTTATAGTCTTTTCTTGTGTTTGAGGAGAGGGGGACCAGAGTGCGATGCTTGGGTGTGTGGCTGCCTGGCGTGCACTGTTCAAACAGCGAGGGCCTGCATGGACAAGAGTGGATAACGGAGAGGGGCAGACTTAGGGCTTGTTGAATGTATATGCTGGTGAAGTGTTCTTGAAGGTGGCGGGCAGGCAGTCAGAGAAAGTGGCTATGAGGAGTGTACCTTTCCAGCTTGGAGAGCCAGCCCATGAAGCTGACTACCGTGACATAGTTTTTTTTTTTTATGTCTTTTTTTTCATTAAGTTCTTGGGAAGCCTTTGGTAGTCTTATTTCACTTAAAATCAGGGTTTTTTTTTGCCTTAAAGATATGTTTTCTTATTGCTTTATAGACAAACAGACTGAGCATAATAGCTAAAAATGTTCTCACAGTCTGTTGGCCTAACGTCTTGGCAATATGCTTGTTGGAACACAGGATCACCTCAGATGAATGATAACTGCTTCAGTGCTGAGCCGCGCCGTGAGCAGCAGCCAGCCAAAGGGGCTCGGTTGTAGTACAGTGTGGATGTGTGTGAGGACCAGGCAGGCCTGGTAAGCAGGACTCTCAGTGCCTCCACCCAGCTTCACACCCATGTGCCTAGTGCTTACAGGGCCCCGCCTGCCTGGCAGGAGCAGGTGTTTTGATCTGCCTTGTTTTGTGTGTTTATCAGCTCTGATCTTTGTGGTTTGTAGAAAGATAAGTTTTTATTACATTTATTTTTGTATGTGTGTGTCTCTGTGGGCGTGGACTGACACATGCCGTAGCATTTGTGTAGTGGTCAGAAGACAATTTGCACGAGTTGGTTCTTTCCTTCCACCATGTGGGTCGTGGGGGTTGAACTCAGGATGTGAGCCTTAGTGGCAAATGTCTTTACCTGCTAAGGCATCTTGCTAGACCCAGAAGATAGCTTTCTGAGAGAGTGCAGTGAACTGTAGAAATAGCCCACAGTCCTCCTGTGATAGATGCTTTATTGGCAGCTGGGGAGAGTGGAAGGAAACCAGAGTCAAGTGCTTCTTGGGCGTGTTCTCAGCAGTGGGTGTCATGCTTTTATAGGGAGAATTCAAAGCTTTGACTTAGTTTCTCCAAGGCTGTTGAGCTGGTAAGTGGTCCAACTAGGGTCCAGATTCAGAACTGTCCAGTCGTAATTGGCACAGGTTTGGTGTTTTCTGTGGCACTAGGCTATACCTGTGTTAAGCCACCCGAGTTACAGAAGTTCTTGGGAATATTTCTGTCATTGTTCCCACTCTGCAGGCCAGAAACTGAATAATATGGAGACTTTAGTTGCCTGCTTACCTCTTCATACGCAGTTAGTACAGGAGGCTGTGCCAGTTGTGGCTCCAGCAGCTCTCAGTCCACACTGCTCGAAACCAGTGACACGAGCTTGAGCCCTGACCCGATCTTTTCACTCCTGCAGTCATCAGCACAAGGAGTCGAGCTCTGACAACCGCAGCAGTGTTTGCTTGTCAGCACAGACTAGGGCAGACCCCCCACCATTGCTCTCGTGCATGCAGGTGACGGTGGCTCTTCTTTTTCAGCTCCCCCGACATGCAGGGCAGCACGAGAAGAGTGGGTGTTATGACGGATGTCCATCGGCGCTTCCTCCAGCTGCTGATGACTCACGGTGTGCTGGAGGAGTGGGAGGTTAGGCGCCTGCAGAACCACTGTTACAAGGTCCATGACCGTAAGTGTTGTGTCCCTGTTCCCAGCAGCCCCTGGTCTGTATTGACTAGTCTAGTGATGTTGGGGTAACAGCATGAGAGGTCATCTGGAAGTCCTAACCTGACCATTCAAGACTCTGATCTCATCTTTCTCCACCTCCCTGAAGTGACTCTGACGCTTAGTCTGACAGGCAGAAGCCTGGACTCTGAAGGTGTGAGTTACAGTTGACAACAGGGCTCCAGTGTATACTCCAGCTTTGTTGTCTGTCTTAGCGAGGGTTTCTATTGCTGTGAAGAGACACCATGAAAACAGCAACTCTTATAAAGGAAAACAGTTAATTGTGGTGGCTTCCATTTTCAGAGGTTGAGTCCATTATCATCATGGTGTGACATGGTGGCATGCAGGCAGACATGGTGCTGGAGAAGTATCCAAGTATCCTACATCTTGATTTACAGGCAAGGGAATTGGTCTGTCTCACTGGGTGTGGCTTGAGTATATACGAGACCTCAAAGCTTGCCTCCACAGTGACGCACTTCCTCCAACAAGACTACACCTCCTCCCAAAAGACCACACCTCCTAATAGCACCACTGCCTTTGGGGAACATTTTCTTTCAAACTACCACATTCCACCCCTTGGCCCCCAAGGCTTGCATTATGATACTTGTAGCCGTATCATAATGCAAAAATGCGTTCAGTCCAACTTCAAAAGTCCCCATAGTCTATTACTGTCTTAAACCTATTTATAAGTCTAGAGATCAAAGTCTCTTATCTCTTATCTGTAATTCCCTATAAAATCAAAACCAAAAGCAGATCACTTACTTTCAACATTACCAAATGCAAGGAAGGGAGTGTAGCAAGGAAACACTGGGCAAAAGCAAGACTGAAAACCAGCTGGGCAAACTCCAAACTCTGCGTCTCCATGTCTGATGTCAAAACACTCTTGAGATCTCCAATTCCTTTCATTTTGTTGACTGCAGCACACATCTTTTTCTTGGGCTGGTTCAATTCCCTGTTAGCAGCTCTCCTCAGCAGGTATTCCACAACTCTGGCATCTCTAACATCTTCGGGTCTCCAAGGCAGACCAGACTTCAGTTTCACAGCTTCATGCAATGGCCTCTCTATGCCTCATTCAGGGACACTTCTGACACATGCCTGGCCTCAGTGGCTTTCCTTAGTCACAGAGGCAAATTCCATAGCCCTTCCTTTTCTTCTGTCCCTAATTCCAGAACCACATGGCCAAAGCTGCCAGTTCTGCTGCTTATTGGGACTGGAACATGGCCTCCTTGTTCAATTACATCTTTACCAGCTCTCTGTTTTCCATGGTTTCCTTCACTGTCTAAACTTGGCTGTTCTGGAACTTGCTCTGTAGACCAGGCTGGCTTCAGACTCAGAGATCTGCCGGCCTCTGCCTCCCAAGTGATGGGATTAAAGGTGTGGGTCACCATTCCTGGCTCTAAGCTTCCTTTTAGTTCCTTCTCACAAATTGGAAACTTAGCGGGTGGGATCTTGCCCTGCAGTCACCACTCCCTTTATTCTATTTCTTAATATAGTTATCTCCTTGAACACAGGATTTAGCTCAATTCTACTTCCTGGTGCTCCTTTTCTCCTCAAATTTTACATTTTGTTATTTACCCTGCTTAGCTTGCTCCTTCTCATTATAAATCTCGATCAGAGTTAACACTAATAACCATATAACAGAGTCTATACTAGGCTGTTTGTAGATTTCTTCTGCCAGCAGAATAAATCCAAAATACTTTAACCTCAGACAGACTTTTGGACAAGGACAAAAATCAGCCATGTTCTTTACCAAAGTATCTAGGCCACATACTAACATTCTTCTCTGAAACCTCTTGATCCAGGCACCCACAGTTCAAATCACACCCAGCACCACTGTCTTCCAAACTCCCTTAAGGCATTCAACTGCTTCTCTAATCCACAGTTCCAAGGTCCGTATTCCTTCAAACAAAACTGTAGTCAGGTTTATCACAGCAATACCTCAGTCCCTGGTATCAACTTCTGCTTTGGGGTTTCAGTTGCTGTGAAGAGATACAATGACCATGGCAGCTTTAATAAAGAAAAAACATTTAATTGGAGTGACTTACATTGTCATCATGGTGTGACATGGTGACATGCCGACAGACATGGAGCTGGAGAAGTAGCCAAGTGCCCTATATCTTAACTTGGAGACAACAGAAGTGGTCTGTCTTATGGGGCATGGCTTGAGCATATATGACCCTCAAAGCCTGCCTCCACAGGGACACACTTCCTCCAACAAGGCCACATCTTATAGTACCACTCCCTTTGGGGGCCATGTTCCTCCAAACCACCACAGTGTCCTTGTCTTCAAGGTGGAGAGAGTGAGCGTAACTCACGGGATCCTGAGAGTTGAGTGTCTGAAGCAGAATGCCTGGCACTGGAGGAGTGCTAGGTGGCTGTTGTTAGGAAGAGGGCAACTTAGCACACCGGCGGGGCCTGGACTACCCTTATGCATTTAGAGCCTCTCCTCTGCAGGTCATGGGAGGTGTGAGATGGTACTTGGGGATGGGGGTTGGCACACACTGAGGCCTCCAGTCACTGGGGACAGTAGAAACACGAGGTCAGTAGTGAAAGATCCCAGGAATCACAGAAAGCCGACCATGTTGAGTGTCTATATGGGCAGAATTGGTAACCGAAAAGGAAAGTTGACATTACTTTGCAGTATTACTGTTAGCTTCTGGGAAAGTGCAGAATTATTTTCTTTGCTCAGGAAAGTACCAGAGTGGACTGGAAGGCTGTGCTGTGTACTCAGAGCTGCTGGCTTTTGTGTGGTAAAGTGCAGAAGAAGATGGTCAGTGGGAACCATACACTTCTTATACTGTCTTCCTTTATGAAGGAAGAAAACTGAAAGTGAACACATTAGAGTGTTGGTGTACTCTTTTTGTTTGTTTTTTGAGACAGGGTTTCTCTGTATAATAGCCTTAGCTGTCCCAGAACTCTCTCCAGGATTGAACTCACAGAGATCCGCTCATCTCTGCCCCCCCTCCCCCGTACCTGGATTAAAGGCGTGCACCATCACCATCTGATTGGTATTGTTAGTGAACTCTTGGCAGTCTCTTCTAGCTCATTGCAATAAAGGTGTTTGGTTTTGTTCTGCATTTTTGTTTCCCTCCCTGTATTTCTAATTTTCAAGGGGGAAATGGCTTTTAAAAAAAGTGAGCCCAGGCAGGAGGAGTGAGGAAAGGGGTGGGGCCGAGGACAGAGAGAAGAGGACACCAGGAAAGCATGTGCAGTTGGAGTTCTATAGAGGGAGGTGGCGCTCATAGAGACAAGTGTGAGTGGACCGAGAGAGGGAGGCCAACCATAGAAATCGGGTTCCTTCGAGCTGTGCTGTGGGGAAAGAGTGAAGGAAGGCAGCAAGAAGCCTGTTCTCCAAAGCAGTGGGTCATGAAACACTTTGGGAAGTTCCAGGAACGGGCTGATGCCCAGGAGCAAGCGGAGGCTGGAGGCCTGAGTGGAGCAGCCTGCTGAAGTGATCTTGCTCTGGAGCTGAGCTTACCGGCTTAGATAGGACGGAGTTATTTCAGATGATGAAGAGCTCTGAGCCCCGGGAGGGTTTGGAGCAGGGAAGTGTGATTAATGCCTGCTTGGGAGCTGACCTCTAAGAAGTCTGTGAGCTGTAGTTGCCTGAACAGCAGTGAAAGGGGAACTTGAGAGACTTTTATTAAGAGGGAGTCTTAGACCTGTCTCCCTGCTTCAAGCCCCACAGGACTTGACATGTACCCCTCAGCATCCTCCAGAGATGGCCTGGCCATGCACTCGGACGCTCTCTCTCTGTTTCTCTTTGTTTCTCTGTTTCTCTCTGTTCTCTCTCTCTCTCTCTCTCTCTCTCTCTCTCTCTCTCTCTCTCTCT